TTTACTTCGTACATGGGCTAAGCCAATTTGTTTGAGCATTCAATCATTACATGCCCAATTTGAGCAGGACTATAATTGGAATTCATATTGCCGACTCCAATTAGCTTGGTATTGAGGCATGGTAGTTATTATGGTTATTGAGGATTCCTGTAGTCGACCCTGATAGTTTGAGATTGAGCTGTTGGTTTTTAAGTTTATTGAGGATTCACATAATATAAGTCTGATTACTTTGGTTTGAGGCTTGGTATTTGTTATGATTATTGAGGATTCATATCACTGACTCAAGTCACTCAATTAGTTTCGAATTGAAGCATGATATTTGTAGTATATTATAGAGCTGACATAAACTAATCTTTATGATTGATGCATAGTTGGCTTAGCACTTGAATGTTTGATTGATGCCCTAGTTTTTAGCTTTTCTTGAAATAAAGATGTCCTTCTATTGTGCAGGTGATTCTGGAGCTACAGCTGCTTCAGAGAAGAAGAGTGAATGTCCTTTCTGCATATTAGAGAAGCGAATAGCTAGGTCTTTGAGTCTTGAATCAGCCCTAGATACTCCGTCTAAGATTAATAATTGCTTAAAGATTTTCGCCCAGCATTTTAGGTATGGGAGACAAGAGGATGCCCATGAATTCTTGCGCTATGTCATTGACGCTTGCCACAACACCTGTTTGCGGTTGAAGAAGTTGCAGCAGCAAAGAAGGAAGGGTGGTGGTGCCGATGGGAATGGAAATACCATTGTTAAGGAAATCTTCGGGGGTGCTTTACAGAGCCAGGTCAAGTGCTTGTCATGTGGTGCTGAGTCAAATAAGGTGGACGAGATCATGGATATAAGTCTTGATGTGTTGCACAGTAGCTCCCTCAAAGATGCTATGCAGAGATTTTTTCGGCCCGAGGTTTTGGATGGCAATAATAAGTACAAGTGTGAGAAGTGAGTATTTTATCCCTCTTTCTTGATACATATTTTATGATAACTGTGCTGTTGGACTGAGGACTTATGCTTGTTTAGCTGTAAGAAATTGGTGACAGCAAGGAAGCAAATGTCGATTCATCAAGCGCCAAATGTTCTTGTCATTCAGCTCAAGGTACAAAATTGTTGGAATGTTTATCTTNGCAAAATTGTTGGAATGTTTATCTTTTCTATTTTATATTCAACTGCCAATGCTAACTTTGCTTTGGTTATGGATAGAGGTTTGAAGGAATATATGGTGGGAAGATCGATAAGCCTATTGCTTTTGAGGAGTTTCTAGTGCTTTCAAGCTACATGTGCAAAGCGAGTCAGGTATGTGTGTAAAGATTAAGTTCAACATATACTGTTTTGCTCCCCACCATTGGGTTAATTCTTTCCCAATTAAATTCAAACCATCTTCTGCTGAAGATGTTCTAGCGTGGTGCCAAGTAAAACTTTTATTTTACCATTCTTTTTGAAGAAATAGTTATGTGGTATTGGTATTTTTTCAGTATTAGTGCACTTCACCGGAGCCTACCATGTCAGTTTGTTTTCAAAATGGGTAACCTTTTATGCCAATGAGTTTTGTGTCTTTGATTTTTCGCCATTTAACTTGACTATGATTTCACATGTAACTGAAATGTCCTTGTTATAGCCGGATAGGCTACACGTAGGCATCAATACATGGCGTTCTCTCGATTTCTAACTCTAGATATAGTTGTTAAGGCAGAGAATTTATCTTCGGCATCTGTGATGTTTTCTCTTCATTTTGGCGATTCGTCTTTTTTTTTAATCCTAGGAGACCTAAAAGTTTTAAATAACACAACAACAACAACAATAACAACAAACACGGTATAATCCCACATAGTGGGGTCCAGGGAGGATAGTGTGTACGCAGCCTTACCCCTACCTTGTAGAGATAGAGAAGTTGTTTCCAATAGACCCTCTACTCAGTGAAACATAAGCATCACATTCATAAAGAGAAAAACAAGAAGCGCAACAACGAGAAGCCATGTAAAAGCAGCATAAATAACAACCAGATAGTAAGATGACCGAAATGAGAGAAACAACAGGTAGTCATAGAAATCTAATACCAACAGAATACGAAAGTACATACTAATACTATTGGTATGAACAAGGAGAACACTCAACTAACTAATCTACTACCCTAATCTTCGATCTCCACACCTTCCTATCAAGGGTCATGTCCTCGGTCAGCTGAAACTGTGCCATGTCTTGCCTAATCACCTCTCCCCAATTCTTTTTCGGCCTACCTCTACCTCTTCTTAGGCCTTCCAATGTCAACCTCTCACATCTCCCTACCGAGGCATTTGTGCAATGCCCAAACCATCTGAGCCTCGTTTCCCACATCTTGTCCTCAATAGGGGCAACACCTACCTCGTCCCGAATAACTTCATTTCTAATCCTATCTAGCCTTGTGTGCCCGCACATCCATCTCAACATCCTCATCTCTGCTACCTTCATCTTCTGGACATGGGCGCTCCTGACTGGCTAACATTCAGTCCCATACAACATAGTCGGCCTGACCACCACTCTGTAGAACTTACCTTTAAGTTTTGCTGGAACCTTCTTATCACACAAAACACCGAAAGCAAGTCTTCATTTCATCTATCCAGCCCTAATACGGTGTGCAACATCTTCGTTGATCTCCCTATTCCCCTGTAAAATAGACCCAAGTGTCACGTCCTTAGTAATTAACTAAGTACACGTGCGACACTTGACAATTTGCTCACGTTCTT